CATGCATTATCTTCGTTCCCAGATTTTCAAGACTATTCTAAATATGAAAATTTAATGAGTCTAGCTTTAATGAATGATTCATATTTAAAGTAAATCCACTATTTATTTTTATTTAATTAATTTTAATTGTAACTATTTTCTAATAAGTACACGCATTATAAAATTCAAGATTTAAAATAGAATTTTAGTTATTTTATTTTATTTCTGTAATTAATCTATTTTGTTTATATTACAATTCAGTAAATGCTATTTAATTCATATAACACATTATTATAAAAAACATTTATACTATACATACTATTAAGAGGTAAACATAAATTATATTATGCATATTGTTTTAGTGAATAATTTAAACAAATATTTATGTTAAGATCATATCTTTTTTACTTAACAAATAACTTTTTTCCATAGAAAGTTGACATTTTGTCTGTTGAATAATTATGTTTGATTCAATCATTCTTAAGCATATGCATGTTCACTAAATTGTTCCTGTTTAATTGTTTTAATACTATAACCAAAAAATTATATGGTAAACAATATAATATTTAGAAATTAAAGACTTTTAGTGGTGTATTATATATTTCACACTTATGAAATATCATATATTTTATTTAAGAAATAATAAAATAATTTTTTCTCTTACATTTTAAAATTGCCTTTAAAAATAACCAAATCGAAACCTAACATCGTATGTAGATTAATTCAGAATAATATAATTAAGAATAAATTATTATTTAAAATATATTAATTTGTGTAGGTAATGTTTTGTATGTGTAAGAACTTAAAGATATAATTAAGCATCAAAAATAAAATATAATAATTAAAAGTTGTAACTTCTTCCTAACATGAATAAGAAAATTACATTAATAACCTTAACACTTATCTTTTTATGAGGATATTCTTGGCAATTCAAAAGTTTCAAGAAACAACTCATACTTTTTAAGGGAGTTATAGATTATAGATAGATATAGATTATAGATAGATATAGATTATAGATAGATAGATTATAGATATAGATATAGATATATACATCAGCATTCAATTGTATGATCTTGCTGACATTTTCACTCATAAATATAAAGGCACTGTATTTATTAAATCAAGGTTCCATTTTACTGATATAATCCAGATCTGGTGACGGAATTCTTTATCCGAAGCGGATTTTATCAATTCTTCATGTACTGTGCAGAATTATTTTAAATTACAAGTTAAGACCTAACACAGATGGTATTTTATTTGTTACCATATATTTGAATGGTAAGATCATTTGTTTCCATTTTTTATCAATCCTGGTTATGTTCATCTACTGTGTCCATCTCTCTTGTGAATCTCTCTCTCTCTCTCTCTCTCTCTCTCTCTCTCTCTCTCTCTCTCTCTCTCTCTCTCTCTCTCTCTCTCTCTCGCAGTATTTTACACAATTATAAGTTGTTTACGGACCCTTATATTCAACTATTCTGGTTTCAATAAGTTTCTCTTTGTTGGTATTTGGGATATCTGTTATTTTTGGCAATTGTCATTGCTTAATTTATCAATTTGTCCATTTTTAGTTGATCATGTTATGTAATGCTAATGCTATGGCCAATCAAGGAGGACATCTCAGTTCTTATTGCGCGCATGAAATCTCATACCATCTGATATCATAGTTTGGCATAACGGCCATTTATTTTTGGGTTCCATGTGACTTTTAGTCAACGACACATTTGATTCTATGGTGCATCTTTTAATTGTTTTTTTGGTTTACAGCCCTTTCACTGCCGGTAGATACCATAGCCTTGTGATAGAAAAGGAAAATTTTCCAAGTGATGCCCTTGAGATAACCGCTTGGACAGAAGACGGGCTGATAATGGCTGCTCGTCACAAAGTATATCGACATGTACAGGTAAGGAATTTAGTTTGCACAGTGAAATTTGATGGCATTCCCTCACTCACACCTCGCATTTGGATGGGCAAATATTTGTTAAATTGAGTTTCCGCTTGATTTCAAATCTTGTTTCTGGGGAAATGCAGGGTGTTCAGTTCCACCCAGAAAGTATCATCACCACCGAGGGTAAAACCATGGTTCATAATTTTATCAAACAGATTGAGAGAATGGAAGCTGAATCCAAGAAGTAGAATCTCCCTCTTTTATGGGAAATATAAATTCGAAGTACAAAAGTAAGCAGTCATCGGGTGACCAGTTTAGCATAGACGTCCCTTTTGCCCTGAAAGGTTGGTGTGTTATAGCTTGTGTACTCTTTTCCCAAAGACTCTTTTGGTTTTGTCCTATTATTGATGGACCTTCCATGTCTAATAAATTCATGTAGGAGCTTTTAGATATTAATACCTTATCACATCACAGATTTCTCTAAGATTTTTTATGGGGAGATTTATTTCGGGATAATTGCACGAAATCCCCATGTATTATACGAAAAGTGCGCATTGTTTTTCTATGTTTTAAAAATTGTGTGAAACCCTCTTATATTTTTAACATTTGTTGCATATTCTCCCAGTTTTACTAACACCGTTAGTTTTTTTTTATTATTTACGGGGTTAAGTTTTTTTATCGATTTCCTTTTATAGCATTATCGTATATCGTGATAATCTCTCGATCAATTTAATTTATCACGATATTATATAATTACCAGGAATATTGAATTAATTTTTTTTGGTTATTTTGATTTATTGCAATATTATCCAATTATCATGGAAAATGGAATAAAAAATTTACTGGCATGGGAAATCAAGCTCATCACCTCTTGCTTGTGTTTGTATATGAAAAATCTCAATCCATATTCAATTCATGCTCAAAATATAACTCAAATTCACTTAATTATACTATCCTCAATATTATCAATATAATTAAATAATATCAACTAATTATTTTTATACATCACATTAATAATTTTATATTTAGCTACTCACATATTATTAACTAACCACCACTACATTTCATTTCTCTCTTACTTTTATATCACATAAACTTTAATTATTTTAATATGAATTCAAATTCTACTAACAACTAATCATCTAACTTTTTTCAAAATTAATTTTGGTTAAAAAAAATTAAAAAAAAAAAAATAAAAAACACTCATTTTGGACAGATATATTTAAATACAAAGATGCAACATCAAAATAGAAGTCTTCAGTTGCAGCAACTACACAAGCCTTAAGTGACAATTGACTCATGGTTTCCATGCCTAAATTGGAACTCTAAAAATAGAAGTTCTTAAGTTGCAACAACTACACAGAACATTTATGTGCGCATCATTACTCTACTGAAAGCCTCATGTATCATATCACCGGTGAGCTCAATTATCGTCTATGTTCTAGTTTTTCGGAGCTTTGAAGTCTGATATGCTAGCTTCCTACACGATTGACATTATATCTTTGAAGACAAGATGCACATAGTCGTCCGCACAAATACCTAGTGTATTTGTCATGCGGAGATCCGGCTTTAATATTTACGCCTAAAGTTATAATCTCATTTTTCTGTTTTTGGATCTTAAGAACTGAACACTTTAGTTCATGTGATTTCCGTGTATTCGACACTCAATTTGTAACACAAAACATCTTAACTTTTAACAACAAAAAGGGAAAAAAAAAACAAAAAAAAGGAAAAACCAGAACAGAGAACTCCCATATGCAACATAAAGCAAGCAACATAAAGCAAACGAAAGTTCCTACAATGAATAAACCCACCAAAATCTTCACACAACAATCTCTCTTCCAAACACTTGAGCACCATCATCAAACAACAAATTACCAATCATAAACCCCAACAAAATAAGATAAAAGAATAAGTAAATGAGGTAAAAAGATTCACGCATAACGGCCGAGAGAAACCGAAAGATCAACCGAGATGCCGAAAAGAAGAATAGCCAAGGCCAAAAAATTGATGAGGCGAGCCTCGCTCTGGTGGTGGAGCCCCATATAAGTTGCTTTCTCCATGAGCCCGGTCAAGGCTGTGCATGTGGCCATGTACAAAAGTACCCTTCCTCCATTCACGTGCCATGGTGCTGCCCTTGCCCTCATCTCGTTCGTTGCCCCGGACAACATAAACATGCTCAACCCAAACAACCACTGCATGTATGGATAATGGATCGATCAAAACAAATATATTGCTATAATTACGACGACACCCTTCAGGCTTAGTCTAATTATGAAATCATCTATTAGTTGGAGTATTTGAGAAAGTACCTGCAAGCAGAAGAGGGAGAATGTGCCGATTCCAATCCAAGAATGCAGGCTGTACAAGTTGGTTAATCCGCGCCTTTCGTGGAACTTAAAGGCTGCATTTAGCCCAACAATCCCGAGAACAATGGCCACGAAATGTATGAACATGTGAATAGATTTCTGGACTTTCCTCTCTGCCCCCACCGTCTTGTATGCCATCATTGCTGCCAATATATGTGCAAATATTATAAAGGGTTGATAGGAGAACGCTGTAATTATGTGAAAATAAAAATCGTGTTTTCTGATCATTCTTATACCTTCACCCATCATAAATATGAACCCGAAAAACATAAGAAATGGGTGAACCTGCAAAAAACAGAGAACCAAAATCAGAGCCAAAAAGGAATAAGCACAGATTTTTCACACAGTATATTATTTTCATCTGTACAAACAAATGTATAGTGGAACTTCTAAAAGGTCTAACATTGAAAACCCGGTTGGCATTATACGAGTCGAGATCAAGGCCCTCACGATAATGCAGCAGCCATACGAGCAAAAGCATTATTGCTAAAATACCAAATAAGTGCGCAGAAACGGTCATACAAGAGGCCGGCCTTCGGTATCTGTATCTGTGACCCTCAATACTCTGATCCATAATTGATATATAATTATTTAGGAAAATATAATTGCACTTAGTGTATGATCATGCAGAAAATAAGGCAAGTATATGACAGAGGTTTTAAGTTATGCACGATTTGTAAAGGCTTCAAGTTGTTATATATATATGTATGTGTACTACTTAACAATTGGAATAATAATGGATTAGCTTTTGATGGGTTGCCTTGTTTTGGTAGTTTTGGTATAATATTTTCTGGCAGGGATAACTTTGATCCTTGGCAAAGGATTTAAACAAAAGTAAATTTGAGTAAAGTGGCTTCCTTTTTTTTTTTCAATAGATTTTATAGCTCAAATAGAAAGATACAATCCGAGTTAAGAAACCCATACAAACGTCCAAAAAGAAAATGGAGTGGCACCCCCAAAACGCACTACAACCTACAAATAAAAAACATAATAATCTACTATCGGCATTGACTAGCAAAGAGATCCAAAGAGTAGAATTATTATACATTTCTGCCGAAATGACAGACTTAAAAGACAAAGCTACAACCACTGCCCTATAAAATATATAGATAAAGAGTTGCCTATTGGGTTTTGGGTTACTGATTGAATTGCGTTTATATGCGTGAAAACATATTTTGACTTTTGAAGTGTACATGAGCTATTTCTTTTTTACCATCCTATTTTCCTATGCAATTTTCTCTGATGAAACTCTTCAAGAAAAGATAGGTTCTCGATCCTAGGGCTGTTTAATCGGTTAAAACTGAATCGAATCGACCGAAATTTCGGTTTGTCCAACTTAAAAGCGAAAAACCGAACTGAATTTTATGGTTCGGTTCGGTTCCAAACTGAAAATTTATCGGTTAGATCGATTTTGTTATCGGTTATTCGATAGAAATATGGAGAAATAACAAAAAAAAAAAAAAAAA